CTGCTGAGGCCAGAGAGTTCCTGCCTGGAACTACAGATCTGGCAAAGGGACTCTTGGACCTGGGAAAATCCTGAGGTGCATGTACCACATTACATGGCTCTATAGCCATCTGAGTGACAGGCCATGCAAGACGCATTGCCCTGTTATTTTTGGAGTGAGGAATTTGATTTGCCTCAACTGTCCCTGGCTACAAACGCTGTCTTGAGAGCCTCCTTAGTTCTCAATTAGCTATAATTGAGGCAGTGGGGCAGGGGGAGTGTTGGAGTGTGTGCATGTGTGTGCGTGCTCAGGCCAGCACTGTGGAGTACAGCTCAAAGACCAGAGTAAGGAGGGGGCCTGAGCTCAGTAGTGAACAAGGATTCTAATCGGCTCCGTTTTGGCAGTCTGTGCTGTTAGGCTGCTCCACTGACATCCACTAGAAAATCCCCCTTTGTTCCTTTCTTCCCCCAGCTGTACCCTCTTACCCAGGGGGCTTGCCTCCCACAAGCCAGCCTTCTGGAGTGGAGAACAGAGGAGAAAAGACTGCAGGATGCTGGAGAGACAACTGATAAAATAGCGTCAGCTGTCCTTACAGGGCGGAGCTTCTCCAGGCTAGCGTACAGCAGTACTTCAAGACCTGAAGTAGACATCATACCAACAAACTAATAATTATATTAACACTCGATGGTGGTTAATAACAATAACAATGATATACCTGTTGACATTTAATATATTTAATAGTCTGACCACCCCCTGAGGCACAGAGAGGTTAAGTAACTTATGCCTTGAAGCTCAGCAGCTCAGAGTCTGCAGGTGAGCTTGGCTAGCTCTGAAATGGCTACACCTTGCAGTTTCCCACTGAGGGACTCAGAGAAGAATCCATGACTGGATGGTTGACTGGTGTCTTTTCATAAGGATTGTGATCAACAAGAGAGCCCTCAGGTTTGATGGAACTTGTTTTAGGGAACCCTCTGGTCCCTGTGGCTGTGTTCATCTTTGTAGTGGTACACCAGAAAACAGGGCCTTGAGAGCAAGCTCAGAAGGCTGAACTTTGTTCTATAATTGATGGCTGCCACTGAAGGCTTTAAGAAGAGAAAGGAGTGGGGCTGGAGAGATGGCAGTTAAGAACACGGACTGCTCTTACAGAGGACCAGGGTTCAATTCCCAGCACCCACATGGTGCCTCACAACCATCCAGTTCCAGGGGCTCTGATGTTGTCTTCTGACCTCTGCAGGCATTGCATGACACAGGTGTACTTACATACACGCAGGCAATATACTCATATACAGAAAATAAAAGTAATAAATATATTTTAAAAAAGAAGAGAAAGGGTGTGAGGGAGGAGCTTGGGGGCATAAATCTGAGTGGTCCACACCAATGGGTTAATGAACCTGGAACACGGGCAGAGAGCAGGTAGAGTTATTCATGGGGTCAAGGTGACCTGGTTGAAGGTTAACCAGCTCCTCTAACCTTGAGAACCCCTCTGCTTCTGGACCCTGCTTTTGCACATCGACAAAAGAGAGATAGCTGTATTTCAAAGTATCTAAGAATAATCTGGAATTTTCTATGACTCTTTGATAACCTCTGCCTAGCCAATAGCTAGAGGAAAAAAAGCTGGGGTCGGGGTAGGGAGCTTTAAGGTGGTAGTATCCAGGATCTGATTGGTGAAGGAGGAGGATGGAGAGTCAGGAGTCGACCATGGCTCCAAAGTGCAAGGCAAGGTTGGAGGAACAGAGCTATCCCCAGAAGTCTGGATTATATACAGCAGTCTGAACACACTTCTACTTGGAGTTCATTGTGGCTGATGCCTCCGTAAGCAAATGGTAGCAACAATGACAGGAAAGAGAGCTCTGTGTGTGCGCGCGCGCGTGTGTGTGTGTGTGTGTGTGTGTGTGTGTGTAAATCTCAGTGGTTAGTGCTTACCTGGCATGTGCAAGGCCCTGGTTCTATCCTCAGCATAAAAAAAAAAAAAAAGTTGCTTAGAAAGAAGGTAAGAAACTGCTTGATTTCTGCATTCCTGCAAGGACTGTACACTTTACACAGGTTCCATTTTTGTGCCTGGAAATAAACATTTAAGGCTTGAAGCTTTCCAAAGGCCCTTATCTCAGGGGGTGACAGGAGGAGCCTATTTTAGATAGAGGGGCAGGTGAGGTTGTAGGGTTACTCAGGTGGAGATGGGAGTAAGGGGATAGCAACACAGGAAACACAGGTCAGAGAAGGAAAGTTGCAAGTCCCTTCACTAGGAAGATATCCACTGAGACTCTGAGAGAAGAGACTGAGAAAGGACAGTGGCCAACATGGTCTTCTAACCTCCCTTTCTTGGTACCAATGGTTCCATCACATCCCCACATCACTGTCTACACAGCCAGCATGTATCACCCTGATTACGCCCTGAGTAAAAGTAGCTTGCTTGGAGAATGTAAGTTTCCTAAAGAGAAAAGATTTTGACTTCTTTTATTCTTTCCTGTTTTTCCAATAGCTAGAACTGGGTTTTTATAAAGTCAGAGTTCAAGAAGTGTTTTTAGGCCAGGCTTCACGACAAATGCCTATAATCCCACCAGTTAGGAAGTGGAGGCAGGAGGATCGAGAGTTCAAGGCCAGCCTCAACTATATTGTGAGTTTGGGGCCAGCCTGAACTACACGAAATCCTTTCTCAAAAAAATGATTACTGAATTAATTCATACAAGAATGAATGATATGGCGATATTTCAGGCCTGGCAACACCTGGGGTGGGGAGAAATTTGGGACTAGAATAACCTTCGTGAAGTAAATGAGAAAGCACCTGCTGCTGAGGATGCTCAGGGAGGATCATGAGCTGGTCTGCCTCCCTTCTCATATGCACAGTGTGCATAGAGTCTGAGGCTGGATAAAAATATCTGCTGCGAGCAACTGTGCTGTCTGTGCATGCTGGCAGAGACTGAGGATTGATCTCTCCCTCCTTCCCTCCCTCCCTCCCTTCCTCTCCCTCTTCTCCCCCTCCCTGCACCTCACTTCTCTGCTGTTCCTCAGTGGGGCAGCCTTGGCAGGGCCCTGCCTTCCTGGCTCTTCCCATGGAGAGAGCTGATGGGGGCAAATGAGGGGGTTGCTGGAAGGTGTCTAGGAGCTCCATTTCTATGTTATGTGATGGATCACCTGACCTTAGTGGCTTTAACCTACTGCCATTAAGAGTGCCCACGGTTCTGGGGGTCAGGACACAGGCAGGTTCTCAGAACAGGTCCCTGCAGCTTGTGGCTTTGGCTGGGTCCTGGGTGGCTCAGCTAGGCCATGCCTGAGGGAGTCCTAGCTGAGATGCTGGGAGAAGCAACCTTCTGCTCCAGCAGAGTGAGGGGCTTCTAACATGGCACCCCAGGGCTCCCGGAGGATTACATGGAAGCTGCCAAGATTTCTGAGCTTAGGCTAAGACTGGAAGCATGGGTCTCCTGTCGAATTCCACAAGTGAGTCCCTGGGCCTGCCCCAAGGAAAAGAGAGGGCCCAGCCACGGCGTCATGAGTGGGAGGCTGTCAAATAGCACATCCTAGCTGGGTTTCCAAAGAGGATCTGAAAGAGATACATGCTAGGACCCCTATGCCCCAAAGCTGGGGCTCTTGAAGCAGACAGAGGATGTCTTGTCCTAGTTCCATTACTTCTCAGCTGCCTGGCCTCCTTTGGTATTTGGGCCCACTGCACCCCATCTTCCTGCCTGTCCAGCCCTGTGTTGCTCCTGAGCCTATGAGAGCAGCAGGGAGGTGAGATGGAGTTCTGTCCAATGCCTGCCATGGAAGTGGGTCTCTTTCCTTCCCTTCCTCCCAACTCCTATGTTTCATTCGGACCCAAGGCCCTCTCCTGCCTGCCATCTTTTCTGACACTAGGCTAAGGACTGTCCCTACTTCAGAGGCATTGTCTTATGCCCCATGTACTCCATTTCTGCCTGGTATCTTTAATTTCCTCTTTGTATATCCCTTCTGTCTCCTGCCACATGAGTGGCTGTCTTTTTGGGCCTAGGCTCTGAGCCCAGAACAGTGGGAAATGCTTGTCAAGGTGAACCAGGAGGGCTGGTACCAGGCAGGCTGGACAGATGGCAGCTGTGGTGACAGCACTCCCACCTAGGGGACTGGGGTAATGGCAACAATAGCTACTCTGGTCCCTTGCCAAAAGGCCATATGCAACGGGCCAAAAATTGGCTGTGAGGTGAGCAGCTGTGGAGGGGAGAGAGGTGAGAGGCTGGGGTTGGGGAGGGGCTTTCTTTTGGAGTCATTGGCCCCTGGCTCCTCTCTCCTTCCCCTGGGTCAGCCCAGGTAAGGTCACCATACTGGTGAGGGGTAGGGTCCCTGGGAACATGCTTCCATTTCTCAAGGTTACCTTCCTGAAAGCCTTCAAGACAAGGATGGCCCCTATTGGCAAGCAGGGACATTGCTTTTCTGATCTAAAGCAAAAGGCTACAAGGAGCTGCCTACCATGGCCTAGCAAAGGAGCAGAGGGTAGCTTGAGAACAAAACCAAAGTGACTGTGAAGGACATGAGAAACGGCATTCTTTATTCATAAATAAAAACATAAAATTACCAGAAATAGTTTACATAGCCAACAAAGAACATCCAAAGTAAAACAAAACGAAGCTGTCCAGAGCAAAGCAAACCAGAAACAAGGAAGGGAAAAGAACTATGTACATGGTCTTCCAAATGCCAGTCCATCCAAACCCAGCCTCCGGTGAGGGCTCCAAAGGGACCAGAGGGGAGAGCAGCCTCCACTGAGGGGTGCGGCATCCTGCTGGGCAGCAGGAGCTGGAGCGACCTTAGCGAAATCTCTGACTCAGCCTGGCTCCCCCTTGGACAGCTCCCTCATCTGAGACATGGGGCAGGCTGTGGCCAGGAATAAGAGGATCAGCAAGTGCCTCAGAGGTGAGACGCCACCCCCCCCCCAATCATTCCCCCACTGGAGCTTGATGCCTGGGAACAGAGTGCGTGGCCAGGGATAAGAGGATCAGCAAGTGCCTCAGAGGTGAGACGCCACCCCCCCCAATCATTCCCCCACTGGAGCTTGATGCCTGGGAACAGAGTGCGCCTAGTGAGAGCAGAACAGAGTGGGGAGGTGCCCTGAGGGAGTCTGGGCAGTCCCCTCCTTGTGAGGTGCTGCTTGCTGGCTGATGATTTCTTGAGAGCAGCAGCACTCCCTGCCTGGAGGCACCTCTAGGGAGCAGTACAGTAGGAAAGCATAGCACAGCAGGTGACCTGTTTGCCCTGAGCCCATACTCCCCTATCCCTGTTCAATCTTTTCTACGTTGAGCGTCTGGACATAGGCATGGACCACAAATAGGATGCTTTAGGACAGGTAAGTAAAGTCCACATGAAGGTGAAGTCACCAAGTTATAGCACAGCTGCATCCTGAGGCTATCCCTGGGTCCTTGGACTAAGAGCAGTGCTGGGAAGGCATCAGCCACCTTGAATGTTGGGTAGGTCCTGGGCAAAGGTCTTGAAGATGGCGGTAGGGTGGGCTGAACTCCCTGTGGATAGAAGTCACTCTGCCCAGATATAGAGTATAGGCTTTGGGTCTGAGTACCTGCATGGTACCCACCCCTTCCTGGGCAAGATGTCCATGGCACATCAGTTCATCCGGCTGTTCATCTAAGGGTGGAGTCTTTCAGTAGTAGATGGGGGCAGGTAGCCTCCATCTTGCTCTCCATGGGGTAGTCTCACTGGGAAGGACTCAAACAAGGCACAGGCTGGTGGAGACAGAGGACCTGAGGGCCATGGACTTCTTTGACTGGACTCAGAGTTGTGCCTAGTGCAGGGTGTGATCCTGTAGGTGGGGAGGCACCTGTGGCCTGCAGATTCCAGATTTAAATCTAGCATGTGACTAAGGGCAATGGTCTATAATTCCAGAAGACATTATGTCATTAGAAGACAGCAGGAGAGGCCCAGCCTAAACCCCCAAACAGAAAGCAATGGAGGACACAGGAAAGGCTTCCAGCCTGTGACCACCGAGAAGGGCAGAAAGCTCACAGGAAGGCAAGGTCACTGGGGCCGGGGAACACTCGGGGCCTCCAAGGGCCAGCATCAGGGAGGTAGAATTAGGGCCTGTTCCTGGACTGTCAAGCACCCAGAGTCTCCCTCACGCCTCCTGCACCCTGGGCCCCACCCATCAGGCAAGCGCAGAGCTCAGGAATCCAGCAAAGGCTGGCCGTCCTAACAGCAGCTGTGGTGAGGGCCCAAAATAGAACACAGAGCAGCCTGGCTGCCTGCTTGATCTGGCTTGCTTTGAGAAAGACAGAACGGGGGGTGGGGGGAGATAATTCCCTGAACCAAGCAACTGTACTTTCCTCTGCACATAGCCCTAGCTATCTTCAAAAGAGAAGTCCAGGCTCCCACAGAGCTGCCCTCTAGATTAAATCTTTACAGCATGGAGTGCCACGTGGAGGGAAAACAGTGGGTGGGCCTGACTGTTCATAAGGCTGTGTGTATGTACCTCGTATCCCCTTTGACTGGACTCGGCCCACCCAGCGCTCTGGTGATGCTTCTCAATCAGTGAAGACTCATCACATGGCCCTGAAGACACTATGGGGTGAGAATGCCTGTGACTCTGGCTACAGGCAAAGGAGGCAAATGCCCAGCACCCTCACACACCATCTGAGTGGACAGGTTATTCCAGGTCCACTCAAGAGCCAGAGTGGCCGCTAGTCAACTGAATCATCCAGGGAAGCCTCTGCCTTGGCTAGAGCTGAACCAATCAGGAGGCTCCCCTGGGACAGCTGGGAAGCCATACCCTATGTCCCTGTCCCTGCATCCCACCCAGGGCCCCTGTGTCTATGGCTTTAAGAAGAATGATCATTGAGGTCAAAGGCCATTGAGAGGATACACAGCTCCAGCTAAGACTCTGGACCCCACTATCTGCCATGGCTCTCCCCCTCAGCTCTCCTCTGAGCTCTGTGGGTCTTGAGGTGGCTTTGCACTTCTGGGCTGTCCAGCTTCCCCTCCCTCCCACGGCTTGCTTGCTAAACTGTGTGGCAACCTGACCCTTTCACCTCCATAGGCAAAGGAGAACAGGTTATATGGTGAAGACAGAGTCCAAGGCTTCTGGTTACACATGGCTTCTTTCTGTTCTCAAGGCATCCCAGTGTGTCCAGGGGATAACAGGGGTTTGGGGATGACAGGAAGGAAGCTTCTGTCCTTGGGTGAACATTTGGCCTATATGGCAGCTGTCCCCTTCCCTGGTGGAGTCTCTCACTACTTTGAACAAAGGCCAAGGCTGAGGGAACTTTTAACCAGCACATGAAGACTCCTGACCACAACTTTGGGAGAGCTTAGGGGTTCACAGACCAGGGTCCAATATGTGACAGGATTGGGACAGGCAAGAGGAGAGGAAAGGTTATGTAGTTACCCCTGTCCACCCTGGGGACTCTTGAGTCTGGGCCCCAGAGGTGGCTTCCCTCAGAGGGGCTCAAAATGCCTCCTTGAACAGGCTTAGCTCCCTGCCTTCTGGTGTCTAGTTCCCAGCCCTCCCTGCCCTAGGTAGCCCTTCAGATTTCAGTGGCTATGATGTCTTCATAGGGGATGTCAGCTCCTTCCAAGTCAATCTCAAAGGGCTCTCCGGCCCCATCCCCACGGGCCAGCTGCTGCAGGGCCTTCTCCAGGCGCTGGTTGCGCTGATACATGGCCAGGTAGCTCTGTTGCAGCTGCTTCTGGTACTGGATCACCTTCTCCTTCTCCTCCTTCCACACCAACCGCTCATGCTGGAAGCCCGAGGACATCTGGTCATGGCCTTGCCGCTCCTCCTTCAGCTCAGCCCGCAGTCGCTCCAGCTCCCGCTGCAGAGCAGGGATGTCCTCTGAGAAGGTGGGCCCAAGCCCCGGGGGACCCAGGGAAGCAACGTCCCGCTGCAGGGCAGCCTGGGCCCGCAGCTCCAGCAGCTCCTGCTCCAGCAGGTTCACCTTCTCTCGAAGCAGTTCGGCCTCATTTTTCTTACGCTGCAGCTCGTTCTCGCAGACCTCCAGCTCCAGCCCCTTGGTGCGCAGGGCACTCTCCAGGTCCTGCATCTTCAGCTCCAGGCCCTCCAGCTTGCCCCGGGTGTCTTTCAGCTGTGCCTTTAGGTTGAGGATTTCGCTGGCCTTGGTGTTCACCTCCGTCTGGGACTCTTTGAGCTGTTGCTTCAGGAGAGAGATCTCGCCTGACTTCTGGCACACCTGCCAAGGGTGGGCAAGAGAGGGTGCCAGAGGTGAGTGGCCTCATCACAAGTAATGCTACATCTCTGCTTCCTAAAGGGTCCAGGCTGCTCCTGACATGGTGTCCTAAGCACAGTTCTGGTACACATAGACAACCGGTTTTCCTTGTACGCATCTCCATATGCCTGCCTTATTTCCAATTCAGACTTCACACCTCAGTGTGTGCCCAGCCCCATGGATGGCTATGTGCAAGTCAATTCAGCCGACTGTTCCCAGCTCCACTGCCCAGTTTTAACATCAGTGATACTGGCTTCCAGGTACAAATCCTCAAGCCTCACTCCTGAATGTACCCAGCCCTCCATTCCCCTCTGGGGTAAGGTTATCTCATCTCGTCCTGCTGCACCCCAGAGGCTAGTACAGCTTGGCATGTCCAAAAGACATCTGCCAAATGATGAGCTGTGGTCTTCCTCCCTGCCTAGCTTCCCCACCACTTTTCCACCCATTGGCCTTCAGAGTTGTGCCAAGAGCACAATGAAAATCATAGCTACTGAGTCAGACACATGTGTCTCCGGGGTCTTGGCTATTTGGGGTCATAAGTGTCATTTGTGATCATGATATGGTTCAGCAGTAAAGTACTTGTCTAAGCTAGGCATGGTAGTGCACAAGAGTTTGTATATACCTAGCCTGTCTTAGATGCTCCCCCACCAAAGGGAGAAACAAAACAAAAAAATAAAGAACAACAACAACAAACAACAAAAACCCAAATACACACACACACACACACACACACACACACACACAGACGCACACATACAAACCAGTAAATAAATAAATAAATAAATAAGAAAAAACATGCCTAATGTGCAGGAAGCCCTGGGTTCAGTCTCCAGTATGGAAAATAAATAAATAGGCCAACAAACAAATAAATAGAGGAGGGCTGACCTGACCAGTTAGACCACTGTGTCAATAATGAAGGTCAAGGCCTTGGCACTACAGAATGAACTCTTGGAACAAGATTGCAGGTCACCACTTTCATGTTTTCTCCCTTTTCCTCTCCCAGTCATGCTCCCCTGTGCTCCCAATGAACTATGACAGAGGGTAGAGGAGACTTAACCGCCCCCCCATGCATACATAGTTAGAGCCAAGAACTCCTTTTCAAAGCTAAGTGCTATAGTTTGGATCTTGACTGTTTCTCAAAGGCCCATACATTAAAGGGTTAAAGGCCTAGTTCCCAAGGCCACAATACTGAGAGCTAGTGGAACATCTAAGAAGCAAGGCCTGGTGGGAGATGTTTAGGTCACTGGCTCTTGACTCACTGGCCATGAGGTGGCAGGTTTTGCTTGGCCACATGTTCCCACCATGATGTGCTACCTCACCACAGGCCCAAAGCAGCAGGGCTAATTGATCATAAAGTGAAACCTCTAATACAGTGAGCCAAAATAACATTTTCCACTTTGTAAGTTGAGTATCTCAGGCATTTTGTAGGGTGACAAAAAACTGAATAGCATCCTGAACCTGCATTAGTTTAATGGACAGAGAGGACAAAGTAACAGTGGAGGCCCAGGTCTGGCTTTAAATCCTGGTGGGATCATTTATGCTCCAGGTGAACCTGGACGCACTTGCAAAGAGCCCATGTGGTGAGCAATTAAAAACTGTGAACTCTGGGGCCAGCAGATGCATCACTGGGTAAAGGCATTTGCTGCCAATCCTGCTGAGCTGACTTTGATCCCTGAAACACACACAGTAGAAGGACAGAACTAACCCCAGAACATTGTCCTCTGACCTCCACATGTGGGCTGTGGCATGTACATGTCCATGCACACATGCACACCCCCCAACACACTAAATAAATAATAAAAATATGAACTTTGGATCCACATCATTATGGCTAAATCCTAGCATCGACCCTTTATATGTGCCAGGCCTCACCAAGTCACTTAATTAGCTATTTGCTCTTATAACTAATCTGTGCGTCATCAATTTCCATAATTATAAACTGAGAAACTGTAATAATCCTACTTCACAGGGTAGTTATAAGAATTAGATGAGGGGCTGGAGAGAAGGCTTAGTGGTTAAGAGCACTGGCTACTCTTGCAGAAGACCCAGATTCGATTCCCAGCACCCATATGGTGGCTAACAATTGTCCATAACTCCAGTTCCAGGGGAATCTTGATACCCTCTTCTGACACGGGGATGCTTATACACATGTAAGCAATACACTCATACACATAAAATTAAAATGGTAAATTATAATCTTAAAAAAGAATTAGATGAGAGAACTTGGTACTTTCTAAGCTCTCTATAAATTACTATGATAAGCAGATTTATAACTATGTCTTTCTGTCATCATAAACTGCTGTTTATGACTTTTTATTGTTTTGCTGAGTGTCCTGACGAGCCAAGGTGGGTACAAGATGACAGCACCGTCTAACTTAGTTCCAGATCAGACCACAGGGATGGAAGACCAAGGTCAGTACTAGCTACTTATCACTGAGATGCACAAAGGCCCCTTTTTTCTCTTTTCCTGAGACCACCTGTCACTTCCTAGGATGAGGACAGGAAGCTCTTGGGCAGTTCAGGGCCATGTTGCCTAGGCTGGGTCACCCAACTTTGGCCTGGCGCTAGTCCAGGCAGACACAACTCTCATCCTTATTCCACAGAACTTTCTGGAGTGAATGACAGTACTGCTGTGCATACATCCTGCCTGCCTGTGGCACCAGGGCTGCTCAGGTGTGAAAAACTGCTTTCCTACCAGCCGGATGCATGAGAGGACCCTATCTGCTCTCCAGCCAGGCCAGGCCCAGATGCCTCATTCCAAAGTGATCAAAGAGCTGAGGAAATAGCTCAGTGGTGGGGTGCCTTCCTAGCAAATGTGAGGCCCTGGGTTCAAATAAAATGTGAGGCCCTGGGTTCAGTACCAAATAAAACAAAAAAATGAAAACAAATCTCGCCCTAAATGTGATGCACACATGTGTGTATGTGTGTTTGTGTTTGTGTGTGGTATATGTTTGTGTATGGTATGTGTGTGGTATGTGTTCATGTGTGGTGTGTATATCTGTGTGTCTAGTGTGTGGTGTGTGTATGTGTGTGTGTGGTGTGGTGTGTGTGGTGTGTGAATATGGGTGTGTGGTGTGGTATGTGACATGTGAATGTTTGTGTGTGGTGTCTGGTGTGTGTGGTGTGTGACGCGTGAGTGTTTCTGTGTGGTGTGTGGTGTGGTGTGTGTATATGTTTGTGTGGTGTGGTGTATGACATGTGAGTGTTTATGTGTGGTGTGTGGTGTGTGTATGTGTGTGTGGTGTGGTGTGTGATGTGTTTTTGTGTGGTGTGTGTATGTGTGTGTGTGGTGTGGTGTGTGACATGTGAGTGTTTATGTGTGGTGTGTGGTGTGTGTGTGTAGTGTGGAATATGTGTGTCTGTGTGTGTATCCCTTCTCCTCCCCTGTGTTTGCATCTCAGCTTACTAAGCATCTCCACTTACACTTCTGCAAGGAGGGACCACTTTCATCACTGAGACCCGCCACTAATGGCAGCAAGTAGGGACCCTCAACAGTACCAAATCAACCCACCTCCTCTCTCAGGTCCTCAGACCTGACAAACAGCAGCACAGCTGTGCTTTAGAGCCTCCCTTAAGCAGACAGAGCAAGGTCAGCCTTCAGTCAGCCTGACTGAGCCTCAGCTGTCCGGGTTTCAGCTTCCTCACCAACGACTTGTCTAGTCAATTCCATTACAGTGAGTGAAGATGGGAAAAGAGAGGAAACTCGGCACCCACTCCACACACCCATCCACTCCGCACTCCCTTCCTGGGGTCATAAAGTTGGCTCTTTATCACTTGGCACTTCCTGGCAGCACAGGGTGGGGTGGCCAGCAGTACAGCCCTAGCCATCCCACAGACAGGACTCATGGGGCCTCACCTCCCACTGGGTCTCCTCCAACGCCGGGGCAAAGTTGGTCTTCTCCCGCTCGTAGGACCTCAGCTTGGTCTCTAGCAGGTCCTGTTCCTTCATGAGGCTCTCCAGCTCCTGCCGCAGCTGCCGCTTCTCCTGCTGTAGCTGCAACACCTGCAGCTGCAGCACCTGCTGCACCCGCTGGCTCTTCTGCGAGGCTGGCTTCAGCTTGCCTCCACTCTTAGGCTCCAGGCCCTCCAGCTCGTCCCTGGTGCGCCGCGGCCGCTCCTCCAAGGCCTGGCCAGAGAACTCCTTCTCATCAAAGCTGCGCTGTAGCTTCTGCAGTGCACTCTCCCTCTGCAGCAGCTTCTGCTCCAGCTCCTGGATGGTGCACTCGTCCGTGGAGAGCGGGGAGCGCACGCATGAAGAGCCTTTGTCTGCCTTGCCTGGGTGAGCCAGCTTGCTACCCCCGTCAGAGAATGACAGAGCCTTTAGACTCATCATATTGCTGTCCTGAAGGATGATGCCTTGTGTGATATTGTGGGCTGAACCCCCAAAACGACTAGTGGGCCCCACTGGGGTGACTAGAGGATCTAGTTGGTAGCTGCTGGTGGTGCTATGTGTGGGCAGGCTGGACATGGAGTTCCGGCCAGAGTCGGACAGTGCCCCTGAGCACAGGCCTGGCTTCAGCTCCTGTTCCTTGGGCTTATCTGGAGGCATGAGGTGCAGCTGGTGGCTGGCACTCTCAGGGGAAGAGTGGAGGATGGCTCCTGACCGTGGCAGCACAGGCTTGAAGGCAGTGGGCCTCACTGCTCCCTTGTCTGAGCCCTGGGGAAGCAGAGACCACAATGACTTGAGTATTCCTTCCACACCCATCTCACCTCTCCCCACCATGGCTACTTACATGGTGCCATCCTCATGAGCCCACCTCAGTCCAGAACCCAAGTGACACTCTTCTTGGTGGGTAGCTATGGCAGACCTTGCCAGTAACTCTGAACCAGCTAAGTACAGTACATCTTTCTTGTGTTCTTTGAGAGTGCATGTGTGTGTGTTGGGGGGCGGCGCACATGTACATGTGCCTGACAAGGTCATGTGGAGGTCAGAGGGCAACTTACAGGAGTTAGTTCTCCTTCCCCAACTTTTACCATGTGGAAATCAGGTTGTCAGGCTTTGCAGCAAGTGGCCTTAACCACTGAGCCATCTCACTGGTCCCAGTACATCTTTCTTTTTCACTTTAAAATGTATTTAATTTCAAGTGTATGAGGGTTTTTTGCTCCATGTATGCAAGTGCATCCATGTGTGTAATCCCTGTGAAGGCCAAAAGGGGGTGATGGATCCTCTGGAACAAGAGTACAGATGGTTGTTAGCCACCATGTGAGTGCTGGGACTCAAACCTGAATCCTCTGCAAGAGCAGGCAATGCTCTTAACCACCGAGCCAGCTATCCAGCCCCAGTACATCTTTCTTAAGAAACTTTTGGACCTATGAATGTCTTCAGTGATGGCTGAGGCACTGAACTCATAGCAACCCGGTGCCATCTTTTCCCTAGCCCTCTTGAGGGGACAGAGCAACGCCATTTAGGTTTAGGAATCGAGGTGTGGTGCTATAAAGACATCAGGCTGTATGAAGTCAGTCCCTCCTTGCTCCCCAAAGCCTCTTCTGTTCAGCCTGGCACAAGACTGCAAACCACAGCTTCCTGTCCAGGTTAGAAGATCACCTGGAGACTTGCAATTTCCATTGGTGGAGCACTTTGCATTTTACAAAGCCTTTGTTTGAAAACTGCAAAGCTCTGTGCAAACATAGGCATCTTTCTTAGTCTAGGTTGAGCATTCCTGATCTGAAAATCTCAAATCTGAAATGCTCCCAAATCCACGAGTGTTTGTGTGCAGATGGGATGCTACATGTGGAAAACCTATACACGGCGAGATTTCATTTGATGCACACATTATTTAAAACATTGTATAAAATTATCTTAGGCCTTTGTGTGTCAGGTATATATGAAACATTAATGAAATTTCATGTTTAGATGGCCCTGGGATCTCTCATTACGTCTGTGTAAATATGTAATAATCTGAAAAAAAAAAAAAAAAAAAAAAAAAACAAAAAAACCCTGAAATCTTTAGCACTTTTGTTCCCAATCATTTCAGATTAGGAAAGTTCAACCTGTGCCTGCCACGGGGTGGGTGTGGGGACTGAACAGGCCAACTGTTGCCAGTATGGACTAGTGAGATGTGTGAGTGCCTGAGCTGTTGGGAGAGCGGAATTTCTGAATACCCAGGTCCCTGTATGGCCATCTCCGCTCACTTGATAAGAACAAAATCCCAACCCTTCTTCAGCCAAAGGGACCAGAAACCAAACCATGGGCAAGGATGCAAATAACTACTCCTCTCCCTGAGTCCCCTAGAGATAAGTACTCACCTCTCTCCTTCCCCTATGAACTTGCTGTCCTTTGGCCTACTTTGACCATCCAGGTTATGTCCCAAAAGAGCTCAGAAAGGCTTGCCATTTCCCCTCTCCCCTTTGCTGTAGGGCTGACCTAAGATTTCTGGTTTAGCAGATGGACCAGCGTGCCTGTGCCTTGTCCAACCTTTGATCCATGCAGTGGGGACAAACACTTTCACTCTCACTGCTGGTGCTCCAGCCTCTTGGAGACCTAAATCCTTGCACAAGGTCTCCTTCCCTATGCCTCTTCCCATTCCAACCCCTTTTCTCCCACCCTCTCCCCTCCCTTTCCTACCCAGGGACCTTTGTCAGAGACCTGTGCTTACCATTTCCAGCTGATTGGAGAAGGGCATGAGCTTGGGTGGAGTGGACGGGTCAAAATCTACCCCGGCTTGGCCCCCTATGTCCCCACTGGACAAGGCTGTGTAATCTGGGCGGTGGGAGCCTCGGGCCTTTTGGCTGACCTTGATGTAGAAGAAGTCTTCACTTTTACCCATTTTGGAACTGGACTTGCCACGCCCTGAGTCCTGGGAGAAGCCAAACCTCAGCAGCCCGTCTGAGTACCGGTTGAGCTTCTTGAGGTGGGAGGATTTGCGCAGCTTGTACTGTGAGGCACGGCAGTGCTTGCTGTGGAAGCTGTGGCCTGAGATGAGGCTGCTGACACTACCCATGGTGACACGTGGCCAAGGGCGTGCAGGGCAGGACAGGGGCTTGGTGAGGCTGTGGTAACAAGGTGCAGTCCTGGCTCAGCCAGGGGACTGTGGTCATAGCAGACCCATCCCAGAGCCTGGGAGAGCCATGGAGCTGGAAGGAAACAAACAGAAGTCAGCTGGCTGGATCCAGGTGCAGCACTGTCCTACCGGCTATTTCAGGAATGTTATTCCAACCATGAGACCTGGATGATAGAAGAATGTTTGCCAGATGCAAGCTCTGCCTCTACTACGAGTCTTTCAATCATTCTGTCCCCAAGAGCAGCTCCAGGTGAAGTGCTGTGCTATGTACTGGGCATTCAGTGGTGATGGAACCATTGCACTCATAGGTTTAGCGTCATGTGAATACTTAATCCACAGGACTCATCTCAAGTGCTATGCTAAGGTGGATATTTGGGGCAGGTGGAGTAGGACAGAGTTCTGAGTAGGGCCTGTCTATGTAGGGAGTACTTAGGTTTAGGTGTGTCTCTCAGTATTTGTATATTGGAAACATAATCTCCAAATCCATATATGAATGGTTTTGGGGGGTGTGATTTGATCTCAGGGTTAGATAATGATGTGGAGGGTCGTGATAGCATTAGTGGAGGAGGTAAAGCCAGGTGGAATGACACACATCTGTAATCCCAGCACTTAGAAGGTAGAGAAAGGAGGATTGAGTATTCCCAGCTAGCCTGGGCTACATATCAAGTTCAAGGCTGCAAACCTGAGCTATGTCATAGCAAAACCTTGTCTTAAAAGAAAAAGAAGAGGAGAAGAAAAGGAGAAAGAGGAGAGAAAGACTTGCTGCTGGGAAACCTGCCGGTCTGTAAATGTGCTGCCCTGAACCACCTTGGGACCTTGCAGAGTACACACACACACACACACACACACACACACACACACTAAGAAGGACTTCACCAGATGTGAATGCCCTACCCCATCTTGAACTTCCCTAGCTTTAAGACTGTGAGCTGACTATACCTATATTCCTTATAAATTGCCCTGTCCATGACATTCTGTTATAGCATCAACAAATGGCTTCTGTGCTAGGGTAGCATTTGAAGAGGGCTCAAGAAAAATAAGAGGCAAGCCATAGAAACCTGGAGAAGAGAAGCAAAAGGCCTGAATGTCTGAGGCAGAGTGTGCCTGGTTCCACAGGACCAGCTGGGACACTGTCCTGGCTGGCTGGGGGTCCATTCGGCTGGCAAAGTAGCAGGAAGAGAAGCCTCAGTAGGCAGGGAACCTGCAGGCCCCAGACCACAGGAGCTGGGCAGCTTGACAGAGACAGAGAGGAGGAGTGCAGAGCGATCTCAGGAGGGGACAGGCGCATCTCCCCTGCTGTGGAAGGTCACTGTGGCTGTTGGGTGACGAGGATGAGTGATTATTACAGCTGGGCTGGGGCAGTAGCTGCAGACTGTTCTAGATGTAGATTTAAGGCTGATCTGGTAGGATTTACCAAAGGACTGGGTGTTGGGAATGAAAGGGGAATCAAGACTGGTTCTTGGTGCTGGGATGTAGCTCAGTGGTAGTGCAGCTGTGCTGTCAACAGAACTGGTTCTAAAGAGAGACACTGTGTCCTTCTCTTTGGTTAGAGGACTAAACAACAGACCTCAAAGAGTTAAAATTTTCCTCAGCAGTCTCATTCAGAGGGAAATGAAAGACTGAAGCCTTGGTTCCCAGTCACAGGGGGAATGGGCCTCCCAGGAAGAGATTTCACAGGGTCTGACAATGTACTGGAACACCTTGCACAGGACACACTGTGGTAGTGACAATGATGGGTCCATGACAGACAGGAGCACACCGTGACCAGGGCTGCTTAACCATGCAATGCTCTTCCCTCTATCTAGACCTCATATCAGTTACTCTGAAGACAGACTGGGAAGGGAGCGTCCCTGGAGCTCTTCATTTGCTCCTCTTCCCAATGTGTCTGCATCAAACAAATCTGCTTGTCTTTGATTAGCTTGTGGGGATGAATGGTAGAGCCTAGCTCACTGAGGCTGTCAAAGTCTACGCTTTTATTCAAAACTCCTAACAGTAGGGCAGTTGCCTATACACAAGGGCCTGGGTTCCATCCTTAGCACTGCAATAATAATAATAATAATAATAATAATAATAATAATTACAGTAGTAGTAAGTATGGGCCAGCAAGATGGTTCAGTGGATGGTTCACTTACCTCAAAAAAAGCCTCACAACTTGAGTTTGTTCCCTAGGACCTACAGGGTGGAAGGAGAGAAATGACTCCCTCAATTTGTCCTCTGACTGCATTATATATACTATGGCATGCACATGCACACACACACACACACACACACACACACACACACACACACACAAAATGTGAAGTTTAAAAAAACAAGTAAATAAGTAAATGAATAATGTATAATGTTGGGAACAGGAATGAGCAAGAACAAAGTATAATGACATATATATGAAAATGCCATAATGAGATCCATTACTTTGCATATTTTCAAAAATTAATTATCAAAAACTCAATGTTTTCATGGAGATGCAGATTTGCCACTCACTGGAACAAGAAAGATCACAAGCTGGGCAAGCACAGGTGAGGTGGGCTGGAGGTCTGGGTTAAGACCAAAAGTTTGCAATGCCTGCTGGTCATCCAAGATTGATGGAGTAGGCTGCAGGCATTGAGCGGGGCACTGGACTGCAGATGTACAGGCAAGATGTGAGTGTGTGGAAGACCACTGTGAGAGGAGAGGCAATTGCGGAAAGACAAGAGAAGTCTGAGGAAGAGTTCAGGGAGCAAGTTCAAGAGGCAGGAAGGTGAAAGATTAAGGAAGGATGGAAAAGAGAAGGCTGATAGTGAGGTAGGAGATCCACGCAAGCCAAGGGAGGAAAGGGATTTATCCTAAGGCTGTTAGTTGCTGCTCAAGTCAGATGGAAAATGAGCATTGGTCAGTGGATGTGATCACATGGAGGTCATGGTGACCTTGACAAGAGTGGTTTTGATGAAGTGCTGGGAAGAAAGGCCAAGTGGGAGACGGTTGAGGAGAGGTAAAGGGAGGAGATAATCATAGCCTTTGAACTCAGAGAAGCACATGATCCACTTGATTTGGATCCCTAGTTACATCATTGCCAGCCACATATAGGAGGTAAGCTGTTTGACACCCGATTCCAGCTTTGCAAACTAGTCTAAAACATACTTTGTAATATTCAGAAAGAAGTAAGGTCTCTCCTTGAAAATCGATGCTTAACATAATCATGACAACATTGCCAGCCACTAAACAGAGGAAGGTCGAGAAATCTATGCTGCACACACCCACAGATGTGAGCGCACTCTGAGTAGAAATCATACTTTCCCACAGCTCAAAAGGGTGGTTGTGTAGAGGGAAGGAACATTTCTCAAAAGACATATGGTTCAGTCCAGGGGAAAGCAACTACTAGCTTCGAACGGTAGGACAGGTGGAAGGAACCTGTGTCTTGGATCTGCTCTAAATTATGGCATTGCTCTTAAAGGGACCAAGGAACGTCCAAATGGTTCATGGGAGCAGCAGGTGCATGATAGAAAGAGGCTTTAGGCTAATTATCACAGCTTGGATCCAAACTCTCATTGCTACCTGAAAGGTAAAGAAGTTGTACTAGGAACACATCCATTCCAAATTCCATTCATGGAAGCCCAATATAATTAAACTTCATTGTGAAGTTTATTACATGTAAGTTTACTGTTGAAAGTGTTTCATTAAATTGATGGCTTCTTGAACTCAAGGAAACAGAATCAATATGGCCTCAAGGGAATGCCAAGGGAAATCTATAAAATACCACTGTGAGCCAGGCACTGTGACATTTACTGAGTGCTTAGTTCATAGCAAGCGCTCAGCAAGTGGTGGGTATTTCACTGGCACCTGCTACTATTATTTTGATCAGGATCCCCACCAGCACACCCCGTCCTCATGCAGTCTTTTGAGTCCACACCACATCTTCTCTTCCAGATGCAAATTCCCTGCACTGCATCTCTGTCCTGTGCTTCCTAAGAGCTCAGGGTTCCTCTGTTAACCTAAGACTTGACATTGGCAAATATCGTATTCATCCTCCTTCATCTCTAACTCAGCCTAGACCTCCAGTCCCAGGAGGCAAAAAAGCCCATTGTTGTCCACATATAGAAGGACCTTTGGTCCAAAGGCTCTTCTGGAGATGGCTCAGTGGTGAAGAGCCCTTGCTACTCTTGCAAAGGACCTGGGTTTAGTTCTCAGCACCAGCATGGCAGCTAACAATCATCCATAACTCCAGTTCCAGGGTAATCCTGTGCTCTCTGCAGGCATTGCACAACATGGGTCCACTTACATACATGCAGACAAAACACTCATACACATAAAAAAGAGGTTTTCCTGCATTCTGTAATACCAATCGGAAGCTGGTTCTCTCCTTCTACCATGCGTGTTCCATGGATCAAACTCAGGTCATCAGGCTTGGTGGTAAATACCTTCACCCACTGAGCCATCTCTCTGCCCCCTTACAACCACTTTGGCAAGCAGTCCCTTCCTTTTTTCATACCCAGTATATATTTGTGAGCACTATAACATGCATTGTTGCCAAGGCTAGATCATTGGCTCTGGCATCAGAAAATTTTCACTTTGAAAACGAACTTCTCTGAGGTTTCTTTATTACAAAACAAAAATACTGATTTTATTTATTTATTTATTATTTATTTATTTATTTTTTGAGACAGAGTTTTGCTATGTAGTCCTGACTGGTTTGGTACTCATTATATAACCCAGGCTGTCCTCAAACTTCAGGCAGTCTTCCTGCCTCAGTCTCCCAAGTGCTGGAATTAAAATCATCATTCCTGGATGAAATATAGGCACTTAAACAGGAACAACAGGAAGATGGAGCATGCTAACAGAGCCCAGCACAATGCTTGGAACAGGGCACGTGCCCTACAGATGTGCTCATGATAAACAGAAGGGTAAGACAGCATGGCACCTTCAAAAGTCTGTGACAGATGGAGTGTGACTACAACATTGGGCAGACATATATTATGGTTTGAATGTGAAACGTTTCCCACAGACTCATGTGTTTGAATACTCGGTCCCCAGCTGGTGGCACTGTTTTGGGAAGCTGTGGAGCTTTTTGGATATAAGATCTGACTGGCAGGCACA